TTCTAGGTTGAAAGTATCTGCCTTTATAATTCCAAGTTCATTGATTATCTCCATCTATATATCAATAGAAGCCTTTACCATATGGCACAGATTTATTAAAATTCATGGATTTAACACATGATATTAGGGTAATATAAGTTCTTATTTACCACATATTTATTTTACATAGGACTTTTTAGCTGTAAGTGAAAGGGCATATGTGTTTCAAGCGATTTTCAACAAATATTAATTTTTTTCTATTTCTGAGGTCACTGATCATTGTCAAATCTTTGGCACCCTGATATGTAGCCATTTTTTCAACTGTGAAAGCTCACAAGAATTAGATAATACATGTGAAAGCAATCTGTAAACTGTAAAATGCTATGAAAATATTAATTGCCAGATGTCTTTGAATGATGTCCCTAACTTCCTGATCATCCAATGGCTTTCTATGAATTATAATATTCTTTTCATTCATTCAATCGCCTTCCCACATACAAAATTTTTCTCATTAAAACCTCTGTATAAGCTTTGCTCATTAAAAACATAAGCTAATGAAGCTTCAAAATAATATCCTCCTTCATGTCATATTTTAAATTAGCAAGTTGTAGAAATAAAGTACCCAGTTAATGAACTTGAAAATATTTCCCTCCATTTTATTTAGTCAGTGTGCGTCTACTACATTTGCTCAGGTAAAGTTTTAATTTTAATGTGTTAACGCCTCTGAAGAATGAAGGGTAAGAATAATACATTCCACTATGTTCTATGCTAGGACAGAGACTATAGGCACCTAAAGCCTCGGTCCAAGACTGTCATCTGCTTATCCTCTAGACTTAGAAAAATGTATGGCATGGAGAAAGTATTTAATTCTCATTTGTTGGATGGATAAGTGAAAGGATAAAATGACTAAGAAGAGCTTCTAATGCATAGAGGTTACCAAAAGACAGTAACTAAAAACAAAGGATGCTAACCCATATACTGTGGTTGTAATGCCCTAACTTCCATTGGTTGTGAGTCTGGACAAATTACTAGATCTTCATGTACATTTGTTTCCTTAAAATTAAAACAGAAAGTAATAAACACAGAATCATAGAACTGTCAACACTGTGACAAGAAATTACTTCAAAACCCTAGGTAAAGGCCTCTTTAGGTCTGTGTGTTCCTTATCTTCAAAATAAGTTTTGACTAGATTGTATGGATATCTACTCTATCTGTTAAGGGTCTATAATTTTAGAACAGCTGCATTGAGAAAACATGAAAAAATGCTTTGAAAAAAATTAAAAGTATTATACATATGTAAAATATAGGTGGAAAAGGCCAATACGGGAAAAATAACATCTGGTTAAAAGATTCTAAAATTATCCATCATTCTTCTGAACTATTATGCCTTTTAAGGACTCCCTTTCTTTGGAGCTCCTATCATCTGTGTATCATATCAAAAGGATTCTTATGAAATACATCGTAATATTGGTCACCAACCTCAAAAAAGTCACTTTCTATATTTGTAGCTAATAGATATATAGCAAAGAGCCCCATGTCATTAATGATAACTTAAGTTATCTTTTGGTCCACAGTTTTCCGTAGTTTATAAATGGCATAACACATTAACTCTTCTTTCAGGGGTGACCTTTACAACACCATTAATCCTCACAGCTTTTATCCAACTACATTATTACTCATTAAAGTTTTAGCTTTCAACATCTGCATTTGTTGAAAAGAGAAAAGTAAATTGTAGTGGCCTCAAATCCTTGGAAAATATGAGGGATGTGTATGTGGTGAAGTGACTTTTCAGAAAAGAAAAGAGATGTTTTAGTAGTAGAAATAGTCATTATAAATGTCATTAAATATGTTCTTGCCTTTCTAAAATACTGTCATACTTAATCCTTGGGAATGACAAAGTAAAAATATTCATATATGATAAAAATGTGATTACATTAATCTATTAGTTAAATATTCTAGTTCTAGTAACATTACAACAGTAGCTCATATACCAACATTTGTGATATACCTGAGCCTTAATATATATTATGGAAGTAGACATTTTTTGCCAAATAAAATATTTTTTCTTTTACATACTTAGTTCCTAAAAGCAAATCGAACCTGGGTGCTCATTCAGGATATTGAGCAAGGTAACTGAGATTTAGACCATAACGATGAAAAAGCACATGTGTATCCCAAAACTTTTTCAAGCTTTCTAAAACTTCAGTTTTCCCTGTTTCTCTGCTCACTGCTACCTCATTGCCCCAGAGTAAATTCCTCTTAGCAAATAATCTGGGATTCTACTTTGCAGAGATTAAAGCATTTGAAACATACTCCTTTAGACTTCATTCTGTCCATCCCAAAATTTCTCTGAAAACTTTACCATTTTTTCTCTTCATTTCCTTTACTCTCAGAAAAAAAGGGGCTTTTCTCCTTCCAAGGCCAATCTTTTTTCATCATCTGCTTGCTATATTGTCACCCTTATGTTGTCACCCTTGTACTCATCTTTCCAACTCTTCTTCCTCTTCCCCCTTGAAGAGGAATGTATATATATATATTTCTATTCTAAAACCTGTCCCTACTCAGTCTTCTCAAACTATAATCACTTCTCAACACCAAACTTACAAAAAGATTAGTCTATATCATCCACTGCACTGTCTTTCCTCATATCCTTCAAATTTTCATAATTGGAAATCTGTTCAAACCATTCTACTAAAACTTATCTGTCAGAATCTATCTATCTGTAAACTCCAACTAAATCCTAAGGCTTTTCTTTCTCATGTTCTTTAACTTTAATGCAGAATGTGCCACCAGTAAGTGATCCTTCAATTTTGAAACTCTTGGTTTTCATAGGCTAGCATGACACTGCTCCATCTTCATTGCTATTCTAACATAGTCGCTTGCTCTTCATTTCATTCTTATTCTAAAACACTCAGTTTTCCACCTAAAAAGGGGCGGTGGTTCTAAAACGTGTCCAAAGATACTTTGATACTCTTCCTTCAAGAGTTGGAGACTAATTCCCCTTGCCTTGGGTTAGGCTGGACTTAGTGATTTTATTATAAGGTACAGAATAAAATAGAACTGACTGTGGGTGACTGTGAACAGGTCATAAAAGGCACTATTATCTTTCTTTCTGCTCTCTTCCTTGATCACTCACTCTGAGGAAGGTTACAGCTACATGTTAATGAACTGAGGCCTCCAGCTAACAGCTATGAAAGTGAGTCATCTTGGGAATGGATCATCCATCCATCCCAGTAAAGTCTATAGATGACTGCACCTCTGGCCAACATCTTAACTGCAATCGTATGAGAGATCCTAAGCCAAAACTACCCAGCTAAGCTGACCCTTAGAAACTGAGATAGTGAATGTTGGCTGTTTTAAGCGGCTAAATTTTAGGTTAATCTATTACAAAGCGACAGGTAACTAATACAATAGGTAGTACCTATGATTCTTCAGCCCACTTCTCTTGTTACCAGACATACTCTTTTTTTGGTGAACTTATTTGTTCTCCTTACTTCAACTACATCATCAAGGAATAATTTCTATATCTTAAATGCTAGCACCCCTCTTACATATCAGACTTGCATTTACAGTTTTCTCCTGAACATCTCTAATGGTTCCTTATATTTTAAATTCAACACATATTAAATTTTTATATTTGTATCTTCCCTCAAATCTGCTTCCATTCTGGTCTCCCTTTCCATAGTTAATGGAGGCACAATCCCTCTTATTTTATAAACTCAAAATCCTACCTACACTCCTCTGTCTACAACTGGACCCCTAACAGGTACAGTCTATTGTGGACACATTGTGTCAATTCTTCTTTAATAATATCTTTTCAATTTATTCCCTCCTTTAATTTATAATTACTTATTTCTGTCTCATGTAACTTATTCTCGCCCTACACTAAAACAACGGCTTCCTTAATTTCAATATCTTTCTTCTGCCAACACTCTTCTCAAAGTTCTGATCACATTGTTGCCTGGGGAAAAAGTCAAAATTCCTTAGGATAGCATTCAATCAGATTCCATCTGACCCTTTCGCTTTTAGTTTTAATCACTTTCCACTATATATTCATTCTAGAATCTAGAAAAATCATTATATTTTCTCAAAAACATGATGTTTTACATTGTGTTTTTCCTTACTGCCTAGATTGCTTAGAAATGTATCTCTTCTTCAAGGCTCAGTTTGAATAGGCTATTTCCAACTTAGTCTTCCTTGATGCTTCCCAAACAGAATCCAACACTCTCCTCTTTGTGACCATAGGATTGTTATCTGTGCTCTGAAACGGCACCTTACTATAGCTGACTTTGTACTATAGGATGGATGATTTCCTCAATTAAACCATGAACTCCTTGGGCTGACCTATGCTAGTCTCCTGGAAATTGTATGCAAATAACAAACACATCAATAAACGTGGGTTGAAGTAAGCATTTACAATCTAATATAAGTATACTAAAATAAAAATCATTGAATTTTTCAAAGTCAGCTTATAGAAATATCTTCTACAATTTACTGAATTTACAGTTATGGAGAACTGAAGCTATCTGCTCTTTTACAATACTTTAGTGTCTTCAAGTAATTCTCAAGCAGAATGGAACTGAACAAACTTCGCATCCTGATGGTGGACGGCTGATCCAGGCAAAATGCATTTCATCATTATGTGTACTTTGCACACATCACCAAACAAAAAGAGAAACAAATTTCAGTGATGGAAAAGATAAGTCACCTCACAAGAACATTCTAGAACCACTGCTCACTGTCATTAGTCATTTAGGACTCTTTTTCATAAACTTAGGGACATAGTTAAATACGCAAATGTAACCAATACAATTAGATTTTCATGAGGACATTGTAACTTTGGCTTCAGTGAGAAATTTCATTTGCACGTTCAAAGCAGACCTACGTAGTTCTTCAAATTGAAACTCTCCTACTACAGAACTCAAGCCATGCACAGGGTATATGTGATGTGCCACTTAACGATGATTTCATTCAATAGCCATAAACAGAAAATTAGCAAGAACAAAAGAAACAGAACTTACCTATTGTGCTAACTCTGGCTGAAGGACTAGCTAACGCTGCTGGGACAGAGGCTTTGAGGGGGCCTGCCCCACTGTTTATTCTCAGAGCTGGCATATGGGGAGAGGTGGGTGATGTGGGTGATTTGCCATCAGAGGTCTTGGGTTTAGCTGATAGGTTCAGTGGCTGTGCCACTTCATCCTGCAATGATCATCAGAACATGAGCTGTGGTAAGGCAAGGCTGATCAAAAATGCCTAGAAAAACACAGGTACACAGCGGATCATTTCCCATCAAATTACTCTACCAAATCAGTGATCTTAACATTCAATCTGAACATTGCAGTGTTTGGTTGCCTGTCAACATTACGCCACTTTCAACTACACATTACGAAATACCTTTCGTATAAGAGAAAGTACATGTGTGCTCCGCTATCCACAGAAAGCACATAATTGATGTAACCTGTAAGAAATAGTCTTGAAAAGCAATTTTTGTACTATTCATTTTTACTGAGACATCGCATAGTAAATATAAAATTATGATGTAGGTAAGTTTTTTTTTAACTTCCAAAGAACTGGGGTTGCATTGGAAGCATCTTTGTACCCTGGTGCTTAGGCAGGAGCACCCATGATGGACTTACATGGCTGTGTGCCTCTGATCAGAACTGCTCTCCAAATTAAACACACACAAAAAAGAAAATTTTCTAACTCTCTTAGAAAATAATCCTTTCTCCTAGGTTTCACAGAAACACTTTTGGATTTCAGCTAAAAATGAAAATGAACATAATTAACATTGCCCCAATATGTATTACTTATTTATATGTGACACTGCTCTAAACACTTAACAAACATCATTTTTTTTAAATGAGATTTGTTTTCCAGATTTTCCTCATAGTATACTACATTTGGCATGAAGATTTGTATGCGATCACGTTAGCACGGTTGATGATTTCCAACTGTTTTATACTTAAACACGTCAAACCATAGTTTATACTCAATTTTATATATTTCTATAAAAGCCCTTAGATAACTTCATACAGAAATGTATGGATACAATACCATTAATATTTCTACTACATCATATAAGAATATAATAAAATGATAATATTAACATTACATTACTTATCTTTCATTGAAAATGGAGAAAATTATCTTACTCCTTTTCTATGCTCTAAAATTGGAATGTTGAGCCACTAGTTTGTACACTGTTGTTTACCTTATACCCAACTTTACATAGATATTACTGCAGAATAAAAATTTAGTTTTTACTTAGTTACTATTTCATGAGTTAAGAATATAAAATATCTATGAATAGCAGGATAACTTGTTGAAAGTAGAATAATTTTTAATCAAATGGTGTAATTAGGTGACGAGAATGGATGTTAATTAATGCAAACAAAAATTGTATGTACGGGTTTACCAAAAAAACCACTGAAATCAATCACTTTACAAAATGGTTAAATGGCATATGTCATCTATTTCAAGTTTATATTTTTAAGTGGTTTAATAGTATCAGATTATTATACAATTCTATGGTTAAGTGCACTTAGGAAACCCATAGACAGACTAGGAGAAAATACTCGTGTAGAATTTTTCTTTAGTTTTTTTCAGAAAAAAGAACAGTTATTTGAAAATCCATGAGATAATTCAAATTGGCAATCTTCTATCATGTGACACACATAATAAGTTAATGGACATTATACCACATTTACATTGATTTACAGAATCTTGATAGGAAGTAAAATAAGATAATCCATAATTGACTCAATTTTATATTTGAGACATTTACTTGAGCATTTTATAAACTACAGGGGTAAAATTATGCTTAGGTTGTTCAATATGAAACACTTATTTAAGCTGTGCAGACATAATCCATATGCTATGTTATTAAGTATGAAATGTCCAATTTCCTGAAGTACTAAGTTTGACAGCTGATATCTCAGACATTTCACTTTAAAACTTTGTGTTTTATATTTATTGTGAAGGTACATCTTCTCAGTCTTTCAAACACACAGTTTGGCTTGGGGTTCTCTTTCAAAAAAAATTTTAGAACAATTTTTGTAAAACCATGGATAAGTAAAAAATTCATGTTATTTTCGAATGTGAGTTCCATCATGGAACCAATGCAGCACAGACAGCTCAAAACTTTGGATGCATGTGGCTAATGGAGGCACAATATGTCAATGGTTAGGGGAGTTCCATTCTGGTGATTTTAATCTTGAAAATGAGCCATGTGGGCGACCTGAGATCAAGGTGGATAATGATAAGCTGAAAGCTGTAGTGGAAGCCAATCCATTTCAACCTACACATGAATTAGCAGCAAAGTTTGACATTACTATTCCAACAATATTGGACTATTTGAAAGAAACCAGCAAGGTAAAGGAGCTGCACAGAATGGGTTCCACATGAATCAAAAGCATCAGAAGAGAAATCATCTCAAAGCTTGCCCTTTTTTGCCATCATGACATAAAGGTAAACTATTTCTAAACCGTATTGTTACACGTGATGAAAAAGGGATCCTTTTTGACAATCACGAGCATTCGGCACAATGGTTGGATAACGATGAAGTGCTCAAATACACTCCAAAACTGAATATTCATCAAAAAAAGCTAACGGTGTCTGTTTGTGGTCCAGCGCTGGTATTATCCACTACAGCGTCATGAAACCTGGTCAGTTGATTCCAGTGGATGTCTAATGCAACCAATTGGATGAAATGATGAGGATGCTTGTGATTAAGCAGCAGAGACTGGTCAGCAGAGACAGGCTAATTCTCTTGCAAGACATCATTCGACCACATGTGGCACAAACAATGTTGCTCTAGTACAGTAGCTGGACTTGGAACCTTTCTGTCATCCACCGTAATTACCAGACATTGCACCAACTGACTACTACTTCTTCCAGGCTTTCGACTACTTCTTGCAAAGAAAAATACTGAATTCTAAACAAGCTGTGGAAAACACCTTTTGCGATTTCATTGCCACTTACTCTTCAGGCTTCTTCGCTGCTGGCATAAATAAGCTACAGTTAAGATGGCAAAACTGTGTCAATAGTTTAGGCACATACTTTGATTAATTGTACTGTTTCTTGTTTGAGATATAATAAACTGCATTTTTGATTCAAAATCAGACGTTTCATATTTAATGACCTCATATATTATGTTATGGTTGGCAGAAAACCAGAAGTGTTGTGTCTTTTCACTATACTCAAGTATGGATGGGTAGTTCTCAAAACTACCTGTGGCCCAGCAACTAGCACCATCAGCACTACCTGAGAACCTGCTAGAAAGGCAAATTCTCTGTCATTGAAACTTTGGGGGTGGGGCCCAGAAATCTGTGTTTTAACAAGGATTCCAGGTAATTCTGATGCACACTAAAGTTTAAAAGCCACTGCTTTACATAATATAAAAGGAGACTATTAAGTTTTATTAGACTTCAAAACCATTTAAAAAGCTTCTGCAATATAAGGAGGTAACATTAAAAAGTATGTAATGTTATGTCGGTCTCTAAAATATGATTGGGACATATCATATACTACTAATAATAAATGGAAACATGCATATGCATAGTAAACTAAATGCTACTGAGATTCAGTGGCACAATGAAGACTGGAATCCAGGTCTTCTCCCTGTCAAGTAAGCATAAATATCCTGACTGTGAGATAGGGGCTTTATTGACTATTTACTATGCAGCTGTAAATATTTCAGGCAGTGTTTCCAAACGTTGCACCTGTTCACTACCTTCTGTGTGAAACGACTGGGTTCTCTCATGACAGCCCAAGAACTTCCCTTTGACAGCATCACAGCTCTTACAAAAGTTTTGGGGGCTGCCTGGAGAAATTAAAGGTAGCTGTTTCACTTGACTGTGCAGAAAGAAAAAAAAACTAATAATACAGAGGAAAAAATGTATTCCCAGAGTTTGGAATGGGGGAGATTTATAAGCACAGAGGAAATAGAGTGTGAATGTGTATGGGGGCAGGGGGGATGGTGGTGTTGAGGAAGATGATGCGGATTTGGGTGCTGATGGGGTGAAATGCCGTATGTCTTAGCTTGAAGCACTAAGAACTATGACATGCACATGATAAAAGATGATTATTCAAAGCATTTATTGAAGCAAGAGACCCACTGGAACTCTTAATATTCTCCTCCATTCAAGGCAGCACTGATGTCTGAAAGCCAAAAAGTGCAAGGCCCCAAGGACATAATAGAGGTCGACAGTTCCAAAGTTGATATAAATGTCATTCAAAATTGCCCTTTCCTTCTCTTCTATTGTGTGACCAGGCTAATTGTATATTAATAAGGACCCAAATGCTTGATCCTTATACTGGTAACTATATAAATAATTTTGACCCATTATATGATATTATTTCTCAATTTGGCTCTTTTAATAATTTACTACTGAGCTACTAGACCAAATGCCTATTATTCATGAAGAATACATTACATTACTTTCCCATTTTCTATTAATTATTGTTCATTTGACTAGATGAAAATTTAAAAACCTTAACTGTAAAATAGATGTAGAGTTTGTATTTATGGCGTGCATTCTTATAATTATGAATATGAATGATAAATGCCAAAGGTAACACTTTTTATCTTTGTTTTTCACTTATAATATCTATTTAGGAGAAATTTGAAAACTTAGCATGATTAACCCCCATTATTACAAATAAAAATACATTTTAAAATTGTAAATAATTTACAAATGAAAAAGTAATTTTCAAGATTAAGAAAGCACTGGAAAATAAGCTAAAAAAGCCATTTCTATCAAATACACCATCAAGCAGTGAACAAAGCATTTTCCTTTTGATTACTTGCCCAATTTTAAACAAGGTTGCCAATCGAAACTTCTGAAAATAGCATATTTCATAATTATTTCATTTATACACAAAGTAATAGTTAAGAAGAATTTGTGTGTCTGTTGAGTAGATTGAAACTTGTACATGATAAATATAAACTAAGTATTTAAGCTTAAGTAAACATGTAAATTAAGGTAAACAAGTTTTAACTAGTAGAAGGCCATGATTTGCATTTATAGAGTTCATTATAAATATTCCAAATAGTTTATTTAATCTTTAGGACTATGAAGTAATTAACAATCTCACGGAGGAAAATAAGGGTCAGAAAATTCTAATGAAACCCCATTTTTTTAGACTCAATTTACAATATTCTTAATTTATATGACAAATGTAATCCTAAATTTTAAAGG